ATGGGCAAGATTTGGTGGAGAGTCAGGAGGGGGAAAGGTATGGGCAAGATTTGGTGGAGAGTCAGGAGGGGGAAAGGTATGGCAGGCAGGGACAGGCAGAGCAGCCCAGTACAGACAGGGAGAGGTGTGGGCAGCACAAGAGAGTGCTAACAGGCTGAGGAACATCTGGCCAGGCAGGATGCAGAGACATGGGTAGGGCTGAAGAGCAGGCAGGGTGGAATAGGGTGGGATGTTAGGGAATAGAGCAGGATACTAGAAAATGGGATGGAATACAAAGGGACAGAGCAGGATGCTGTGGGACAGGGCAGGATGACCAGCTATAAAGCACAACAGTGGGAGATGGGGCAGAATGCTGGGGGATGGGATAGGATGTGGATGCTGGGGGAAGGCAGCAGGATGACCAGCTATGGGGCAAGACACTAGGAGGTGGGGCAGGATCCTGGAGCAACACTAATGGACCAGCCCAGGGCATAAGCAGGGCTTAGCTGTGGGACACAGCACAGAAGCTGCTGTGTAGCTCTAGACAGCAGCTCCCCTGCACCCTGCCACAGCCTATGCTGGCAGCCAAGTGCCCTGCCAGCACCCCAGGGACCCTCTGCAACATTTCCCCTGCTGCCTGGCACTGGGGGACTCTCCCCAGTTTTGGGCACACACCCTGATCATCTTTTCCACACCACAGATGTGCCCTGTGAGCCCACACAGCCGGACAAGTTGCTGGAAGAAGAAGGGATTTTCACCTATCTCTTCCAGCCCTCAGCACACACCCTGAGCCGCATGGTGACTTCTGCCCAGCTCTGGTTTTACACCGGTCCTTCGGCCACCCTGAACCACTCAGCCCCTGACGTGCTGGCCCTGTCACCACAGGGCCGGGTGCCGGTGACAGCCATGGCAGAGCAGACACCCGAGCACTGGACAGTGTTTCACTTGGCCCCCGTGCTGCTGCCCCAGCTCTCGCAGCCACTCTTTGTGCTCCTGGTGCGCTGCCCTGGCTGCCCCTGCCTGGCCGAGGGGGACAAGATGCCCTTCTTAGTGGCCACCACCCGGGCCAAGGGCAGTGAGAGGGCTCGTCGCTCCACCCTGCCCTGGTCCCCAGCTGCACTGAGCCTGCTGCAGCGCCCATCCGAGGACTTGGCTGCCCACACCAACTGCCGCCGGGCTTCCCTCAACATCTCCTTCGAGGAACTGGGTTGGGACAAGTGGATCGTGCATCCCAGCAGCTTTGTTTTCCACTACTGCCATGGGAGCTGCGCCACGGGCCATGGGCTGAGCCACCGTCTGGGCGTGCAGCTCTGCTGCGCTGCCCTACCAGGCACCATGCGCTCCCTGCGTGTCCGCACCACCTCCGATGGCGGGTACTCCTTCAAGTACGAGACAGTGCCCAACATCCTGGCCCAGGACTGTACCTGTGTCTAGAGCATCCCACAGCCCAGCTCCAGACTGTGATCCCACTGAGAAGTAGTTGCTTTCCCAGTGGGACCTTCGCCTCACACTGCAGGGACCAAAGGGACCTGGAGGAGCATTTTGGGCTGTGCCACCCTCCCCTGCACAAGCCAGAGTTTTGGGCTGCCCCAGGTACCATCACGCTGCCAGACCTGCCCTAGGGCCAGGCCCTGCCCAGAGCAAGTTGGGGCAGGGCAGGGCAGGGATAGGCACAGCCTCTGGCAAAGGCACCATTGCCCTGCCAAAGCCAGCCTGCTGTCTGCAACCAGATTAGCCCCCATCTCTCTGCACCTGCTCCCCTCCCTCAATTCTGCCCTTCCCCGAAGACTGGGGTCCCGCTTCTGCTGCAGAATTCAACAGCCTCCCTGCGCTCCAGGCAGGGCTAGGCAGCTGCAACAGGATCAGATTGTGCCTGGGCAAGCCCACGACAGGACCTCACACTGGTAGGGCTGGCGGCATGCATGGCACCGCAAGTGAGCCCTCTCTCGGCAGCACAGCTTGTTGGAAAGCTTAAAGGGACGAGTGAAATAAACCTGCTCCCTTTACTAAAGCAGTGTGGAAATGTCAGTTTCCATCAGAAGCAGCCACGGAGGTGGCATGCAGTTGTGCAGTGGGATGCAACCTTCCTGGGGGGCTTCTAGATGGAGAAGTGAGGGGATGGGCAACTACTTTATAGGCATCCAACTCTGACCTGGGGTACCAGAGAGGGGACTGGGGTCTGCTGGCCAAAACTGGCATGGCATGGCTGGGTTTGATACTGCCCTGGGCACGGGAGCACAGGGCAGAGTTACATCCCTTCTGCTCCAGGCAACAAGTTGTGGAGGAACAGGAGCAACAGAGGGATGGGGAGGCATGGGGATGGTGGGAGGATGGGGAGGAACGGGAAAGCCCCTCACCCGGCCCCTCAACAGGGATAGGGTCAAATAGGAATGCAGCCAGAGCAATTCTTCTCCACCAGGCCGATGATGAAAGCTGCCCCGTCACAGCCTCCGCACAGCAGGAACGACTGAGTCACCCTGGGCAGCAGGGAGGTCCCAGCCCAGCCACGCAGGATTCCCTTCCCACCCCTTCCTCCCAAAGGACCAGATGCAGCAGTTCAGTACAAAACGTCTTCAGCCTTTACTAATATAGATATTAAAAAAAAAAAAAAAAGGAAGAAAAACAGAGTGACAATCATTTCCGAGTAAAAAACAACGCTACAAAAGTCCCCGTGTGACCCAGGCTGAGATGATGAGAAATGCTCCACTGGCTCCTGGCCGAGCCCAGCTCGGGGCACTGTGTCCCCACACTGTGGGGCCAGGGTCTGGCTCTGTGTGGGGGGTCCCAGCCCCGCAGGCAGAGTGGGAGGAGATGAGTTTTGGTCCAAGGGCGACCTGCCAGGATAGGGCGGAGACAGCAGGAAGGACAGCCCCTGACCTCTGCACAGACATTTCTGAGCAGGCCAGCCCACAGCTCACAGCCCCGTGCCAGGATGCTGTGCAGCATGGCCATACTGGCCCTTTCCAGCAGCAGTGCCGCCAGGACCCCTTCCATCCCCTCCACTTCAAGTGTAATGCCAGCCCAGCTCTCTGTCCCACAGCTCAGCCCAGCCAGTCAGAAGACCCCCAGCCTGCTCCCCTAAAGTCCCACACCTTGGGGGCAGTACCAAAATCACCAGCATCACCCACACATGCACAGCACTGGACTGTGCTGCAGCGGGTGGCAGCTAGCACAGGGGGCACAGGGAGGTGTGAGGAGAACATGCTGCAGAAAATGGGTGTGGGAGGAGGAAAAAAGGATGAAATGGGCGATGGGGGAGCACAGGTCCAGAAGGGATATCAGGATGGAGTATAAAAATGCCAGGGTGCACACGCTGATGAGTTTATAAAAATGTACAAAAATAAGATATTCCCTTTTTGAAAATTAAGTAGGAATGAATCCCATGGCCCCCATCCCCTCTGCTGCCCACCAGGACAGGGCTTGCCCAGACTGCCCTGCTGGGCAGGCACATGGCATCCTCCACCCTGCACTCCTGGCAGGACGCCTGTCCCATGGTGGCGGCGGCAGCCGCTCCAGCAGTCACCGCCGTCATCCCTGGTGGCACTTACAGCCCTGTGGGGAGTAAGAAGCAGGTTAGTCCCGGCCCCAGGTGGGATGGCATCCCCTCTCTGGGGGAGCCTAGAAGCAGCCCTCCATTCCCTCTCCCCAGCTCACCCGTGGTCCTGTCGCAGGCAGTGGTCCCCTTCTCGTGGGCGAGGTTGAGGCGGTTCTGCTCGGCAGCAATGCCGTTGGCCTCAGGACTGCTGCTGCGGGCAGGGCTGGGGGGCCTGGGAGGGGGCTGGAGGTGGAAGGCCACCTCCAGGTGCTCCTGGGCCAGGCGCAGATGCTCACGCAGCCGGTCCAGCTCATGTGCTGGGGGAGCCCCAGCCAGAGAGAAGCGCCCCTGGGCCAGGCTCTCCTGGTAGTCCAGCTTGCCGTTGGTCAGTGGGGCTTGTGGCAGCTCCTTCTTCAGCGAGTGGTAGGTGGGGGGTGCACTGGGGGTTTTCTTGGGGTACTGAGGTGCAGGACTGTTGCCAGTTGGGAGCGAGGGGCCACCAGACTGGCTCAGGGCATCACGGATGCGCCCCACACCAAGGTGCAAGAGCTCACAGAGGTTGAGGAAGAGGCAGAGCCCACTGACAGCATACATGATGAGGAGGAAGATGGTCTTCTCGGTGGGGCGGGAGACGAAGCAGTCGACGGTGTGCGGGCAGGGGCTGCGGCTGCAGACGTAGGAGGGGCTCACCTCAAAGCGGTACAGCAGGTACTGCCCAAAGAGGAAAACCATTTCTAGCAGTGAGCGGCACAGCAAGTGCAGGACATAGGCACGCATCAGCCCATCCTGCTTGATGCGGCGCCGGCCATCATGCTTCTCTCCGCCCTCTGGACTCTTCTCCTTCTCCACCTCGATCTCCTCAAAGATCATGGGGTCTTCTTCGTTATCATCTTCTGCCTCCTCGTAGTCCCGCCCGGCTCCCCGGCGCACCACCGGCATGCGAGCCCGCCGGGCTGCTGGTGTCCGGCGCCGTGAGGACTCAGGCATGCGAGCGATGCGGTGCATGGCAAAGCCCAGGTAGAGCACTGATGGCATGGCCACCATGATGATCTGGAAGATCCAGAAGCGGACGTGGGAGAGGGGGGCAAAAGCGTCGTAGCAGACGTTCTCACAGCCCGGCTGCTGTGTGTTGCAGACAAACTTGCTCTGCTCGTCGTAGTAGATGGATTCACCCCCCACGGCTGTCAGCACGATGCGGAAGACAATGAGGACAGTCAGCCAGATCTTGCCTACAAAGGTTGAGTGGTTGTTGATCTCCTCCAGGAGCCGTGTCAGGAAACTCCAGCTCATCCTGGCTAGGCAGTTGACTCAAACCCTGTGGGGAAGGGGCAGGCAAACAGGTACTGAGAGAATCTGCATGCACCTCACAAGACTCGCCAGTCCACCAGATCCCACCCCAGCTCCCTCCTGCTCCCTTTCCCACCAACATTCCTTCCCTTACCCACAGATCCACAAACAGCCTTGCTCAGGCAGCCATCTCCCCAAAACTTCGTCTACCACCACGCAATGCCTCCCTATGCTCCCATCTGCATCCTGCTCCCGCCCTGTCGCCAGCCAGGTGGGTGGACGGAACTTGGGAAAAGGCTGGGACATCCTGGTTCCCTGCAGGGACACATCTAGGGGAAAAGTCAGCACAGTCACAGCCAAACACGTCAGCACAGGGCAGCACCAGCTGGGGACTGTGAGGGGGCAGGCAGACGCAGAACCACATCCTCTCCCCCATTTGCCATCTGGCCCTGGGCAGGTCCTCAACCAGTGCTGCACCCTGTGACAGCATCCACACCCTCCCACGGGGGTCCACAGGCCCCTGGAGGGCATGCAGCAGCCCCATTGGCCCACTGCAGCTGCCAGCCCTGAGCCCTGGATCCCCTGAGGAGCACCCCCCACCATGTGCTCAGGAACCAGGTGTTCTGCACCCCACAGAGCTCTCTCCTGAGGGCCAGCAGAGATGCACCATCACTCTGCCCCTCCAAATCTCTGTACTGTGCCCTTTCTCCTGCAAGACCCCCAGCCTCCAAAGCACACAGTGGTCAGTGGTCAGAGCAGCCTGAAGGCCGATGGCAAGGGCTGGCAGGGGGAATGGAACAGGAGGCAGGACAGTGATAGCAAGGGGCAGCGTGGGGCAGCCAAGGAATTGCACAAAGCCCTGGCAAAGCAGCTGACACCAGAGAGCGGGGAGGAAATTGCAAGGACCACGTTGCAGCTCCCAGCCAAAGGAGAAGACACAAGAGGAGGGAGACACCCCACTGCCACCCCTGGTTTCAGCAGCTTGTGCATGAGATGATGCAAGGGCAGCAAGTGGCAGGGCTGCCTATGGCAAGCAGAGGGGATGCGTCCCCAATTTCTCCTGCCAGCCCCATCCCATCACCTCCAGCCATGGTATGTCCCTAAGGATGACGGCTGCCACTGCACTCATGCCACTATTTTCCAGAATAAGAAGATCTTTCAGGCTTAGTTCAGCCTGCCTCCTGACCAACCCCACCTAAACAGAAGAGCTCCTCCAGCACAAGCATCCACGCTGGGGACATGCTCTTGCTGACGGCCTGGTGTTCAGCAGAGCCTGCTGAGCTGTGGCAGGTGGCACAGGCTGGCACTGGGGATCCAAACCCAGCCCATCAGGGCCACCATCCTCCTGTGGTCAAATGCCCTGCAAGATCTCACTGCTGCCCCGTACCACAAGGGCCCTCTGCCCCACCTCCTCACTGGAAGGAGGATGCTTTGTGCCTCCTTGAGCCCTTGTCTGCAGCAGCACACTGCCCTAGCATGAGGGTGAGGGGCTGGGGCAGAGAACAAGGTGAGGGGACCAGGCAGGAGGGCAGCCTTGGGAGGCATCAAGCACATGGAAAGCAAAAGCACACGCTGGCACTGTAGTGGTGGCCATGGAAGAATGACATAGAGATGGCCAGCAGCGTGGAATGGCAGTAGCAGTGGGCATGACCAGGGCAATACAGAGCTGCTCTCAGCTTCTCCCCCACCAGAGGCAGGTGGCCAGACTCCAGCTCTGCCAAGGGGCACAGCCACCCAGGGCCTCCTGGCCATGCTGGGAATCATGACTAGCACCACACACGATGGCTCGGCCCTACATCTATGCCTCAGCCCTACTGACCCCGGTCCCCCCACCTGGGGCCCCCAGCCACCTCCACCCCTGACTGCACTGTCGAGGGCCCCCGGTCTCCCCTGCCCAGGAGCATAGCAGCAGGCATGCCACTTCGGGGCTCACCAGCCCCTGCCCGCCCGGGGACCCCTGTCCCATTGACCCCTGCCACTCTGAGGACCCAGCCCACAACCCCAGCCTTCCCGGGGTCCCCAGTCCCACTGACTCCAGTCCAACGGGGGCCTCATGCCCAGCTGCCCCCACCACCTGCCCGAGACCCCCCGCCCCCCGATCCTCCTTGTCCGCGCCCCATCCCACGCCTGTGCCTCTCGCCTCCCAGGGCACCGTCGCCTGCCCACCTGCCTCCCCCTGCCCACCGCCCCGCGCCCTCCCGCAGCCCCTCGCTCCCCAGCCCCACTCACGGCGCACCGGGACGAGCGGCTCCCGCCGGCAACGGCGGACAAAGCGGCGGGGCGGCGCGCCGCCGCCTCCCGCCGAACAAAGGGGCCCGGGGCCGCGCCGCCCCGCCCCGCGCCCCCCCGCCCGCCGGTGCGTACCGACCGCCCCGCTCCGTACCCCCGCCCCGCCCCGCACCGGCTGCCCCGCTCCGTTGCCAGTGCCCCGCTCCGCGCCGGCCGCCCCGCTCCCACCGCCGGCCGCGCCACGCGGCGCGGAGCTCTGGCCCCGTTCCGGCCGGTCCCGCGCCCCCCGGGCGGTGCCGCCCTCGGTCCCCCCCGCCCGCGGCTTGGGAGGCCGCGCAGGACTGTGGGCAGGGGCCGGCGCCGGCCGAAACTCGCCCGGAGGCGGCTCCCGCCCCACCAGCTCCATCCAGCCGCCGGCTGTCCGGCTCCCGCCCTCGGCCCCGCGCCCCCGCGGAGCCATTGGCTCCCGGGAGGCCGCTCCCGGGAGGCGAAGCGAAGCGGAGGCTTCCTGCCCACCGCAGGAGAACGCTCAGAACCGCGGGTGCGGCTCAGCCCGCCGGGTGTTCAGGGGTGAGCCCGGCTGCAGAGGGAGAGGAAGGAGCCTCCGCTCCGGCCGTGAGAGTCTGCTGCACAATAACCTCCTGCCCCTCGTAGCATTCTTCCCCTTCGAGTGGAGAGAAAGTATGGAAGAAAGGAGAGATCCGATGGCGTGGCCTCAGACGTGGTGGGAACGCAGAGGAAGATGTGTCTGTGTGGTGGGAATGTGCCTCAAACCTTTTCAAGCCTGTGCCGCTTCTTGTGTTCCAGACCAGGTCCCTGCAGCAAGACGGGGCTGACCATGCAGTACCTCCAGATATGCCCTTATACACAGCGCTGTTCCCCCAAGGCCAGCACAATGGCAGCAGTGGCTTTGAGTCACCACTCTGGAGCAGTGGGGATGTCCCTCCATTCAAGCAACCCAGCCACTCACTTTCTGTACTGCTAAAATTGGCTCTGTGAAGATTTTGTTGGTACTGAGTCTCCATGCTGGTGGGCCAAACACACCAGTGATGTCCTGGGTAGAGCATCCTGTCCTTGTGCCCTGGTGTGGGGATGAGGAGGGATGCCAAGCAGCCTTGCACAACCCAAACACTCAGGGGAAAGCTCTGTTGTGTGAACTCATGAAATGCTGCTCCTCCTCAATGAAACATGTGGTCCCTTCTGCAGAAGGGTTTCCACAAGCTGGCACTGGTGGGTTCAGCACTGGGGGCTGGCTGGGGGAGGACTGACACCTTGAGGCTGGGGCAAGGAGAGGGGTAGGAAGTGTGGCTGGCACATCTAGTGTGGGTTTTTTGTTACTCTGCAGCAGCCCTGCTGCTTCCCTAAGTCAGCAATGCTACCATGGTATTGTAACAGCACTCGCAGAGCCCAGGCACAGACTTGGTGCTCTTACATGGGAGGGCTACTGAAGCACCCCCAAGAGCAATGGGCTGCACCCTGACATAGGTGTGGGTGTGTCTACAAGAGGCTGGGCAAAAGAGCCCTGCTTTCAGCTCCCTTGCTCAATCTTTCCTTCTTTCCAGCTTATGAATGTGTCAGTCCCCTCCTATGGAGGGAGAGCTGCTGCAGAAGAAAGGGGATTTGACCTGGATATGAAGAAACGCTTTCCATTGAATCCTGTTCCTATGCATGCAACTACAGCATTAACGTTTCTGTACAGGGAATAAATGCATGCTTCAAAATTAGCACAGACACTCTGGTCACAATTTCCATCACAGGTTAGGAGAAACAGGAAGACATGGATGCAGAGAGGCATTAAGTTGAGCACAGAGACTCAAGCTTTTGGAAGGATATAGGGAAGCATTCAAGGCCAGAAAGAAAATCCTTTTTTTGCAGGTCAGCATGGAGAGGTGGGAGCAGGGCAGGGGGCTACCAGAATGAGGGCAGCATCCCATCATGCTGGGGATGTCAAGCAGCACACTGCCTATGTTGAACCTCCTGCTCTTGCCAGGCAATTAAAGTGGCTTGGGGCTTTCTTTCTCACAGTCACCACTAGTTTTCAAGTGCTTCCAGGTCTCACCTCCAGCTGGCTTTACTCCCAGATAGCCAAGGAGTTTGCCAGAGGTAAGGGATCTATGTGACCCTTTGACTCTGATGCTCACCGCGTTAAGAACAAGCCCCCATTTCACCAGCCTCACATTAAAGTGAGGAGTGTGACCCCTGAGGCACTACAAACTGAAGCTGTTGAACCCAGAATGAAGCTACTTGTTGGGCAGGGTCAGGCACCGTGCTGCAGCATTTTTGTGCAGCACAGCTCAGCCCATGCCTGGACTGTGGGACAGAGCTTGCCTTGGGGGGCCAAGGCCGGGGGATGGTGTTGCCCATCCCATGGACAGCCATTACTGTGCTTGTCAGCATCTGGCCATTGGCATCAGAGCCCTCCAGCTTCCCCTGTGATGGTACCCTGGGTGTTCCCGGGCTCTACGCTTTTCTTCAGCTTGCGACATCCAAATGCCCGCAGAGGCATCGCCCTTTCAGCCTGGGACAGAGGGCAAACCCACATCATCCGGGAAAGGAACAGTGGATGAAGGGCGTTGCCTACCCGCATCCCTTTCCACATCAGCTGAGGCTGACAGAGCATCGTGGGCAGGAAGGATGTACAGACCAGCACCATCGTGGGCTCAAAGATCAGCTTTGCAGAGGAAACAGGGGCACTGTCACCAACCACAAAAACGAGGATCAGCCTCACACTACTGAGTCTATGTAGCAGAGCCATGACAGGGCAGCTGCACAGCCCAGCAAGAGCAAGGGGAGCTGGTAATAGAGATAGTGGCTGAGGGGGAGCATAAGCACAGGGATAAGAAGAACATCCACTTCTGGGACAAGCGCTACAGCTCAGGAGGGACGTGGCAAGAG